AGAAAGTGGTGATTTCACTGACAAAGAAAGACTTAAGGGACTTAAGAGTTCTCGTCCCACAAATTATGATCCAAAATATGCAAAAATATGATATAGTAATCTATAGAAAATTGGATTTGATTGGCCTAAAATGTGACCTTCTCTATGAAGTTGCCGTCTGGGCCCTGGCTTGAATAGACCACAATCGAAACAGGAACAAAAAAAAAACAGCACACTACCTTCCCAAAAAGATAACCAAACCTACAACAGCCGCCCAAATGAACACATTCAATACCAAGCCTGCGTTTCAAGGTTGATTTGATGCACCTTTTCATGTCTGTGCAAGGTAGATGTGATAGGCTGGCAAGTCCTCTCTAGGGGTGCATCCCAGGCATGTTATGTGGTTGAAAACCATAATGCCATAATGTAAAAACGTCTCCAGTAAAAAAAATGTTAACAACCAAACATCTATATATATATATATATTAATACCATACATATATATAACTAATATAAAGTCTCTATTAAGTCTCTTTATATATTTGGGCCACGGTCAATATTTGGTATATAGGTCCAAGTCATCACTTTTTGAAGAATGTATTGTCGTTTTTCAGGTTTTGGCATACAAGTAAATGCTATCGTTTTTTGAAGAGTGTATTGTCGTTTTCCAAGCCCCAGCTCAATTTCCAAAAAATAGAGACCGCTCGAATACTACTCTCCATTAACCCAAATTTTGGCTGTAGCTCATTTACCATCCGGTACACCAACTTGGAAAACTCGAACTCCGCCAGCCGCCTGCAGGGAGCAGCTTCGGCTGGTTGCCGATAATCAGTCCTCAGGCCCAAAAAGGCGGTGAATTGTGGTGAACCAACAAAAGATTGGGGATGTATGGTGACTAGAACAACAATAAGAGAGGGCGTTTTTATGGTGGTACCCTCTGGTTATGACAAAACCAGTTTGCCATGGAAAGATCCACCATGCTATTGATAGGTAAACCATCTATTTCTATGGGCCATTTTCCATGGCTATGTTAAATAACCAGAGGGTATTATTTTTGGTCATTTGTTGCTTGTTGCTATGGTGTAGATGGCCCCCCAAAAAAAAGTCCAAGGATGAACCTATTTTCACACGCTGATTCTCCATAGCTGCTAAATTACTAGAGGATGAGACCCTGGGACCCGGGCTTGCACATCAAAAGCATTCAAAAACGCTTGTAGTTTTCGATGTTCATACTGCTTGGTGGAAAGGTTCTATGACCTACTTGCTGACAGTTGCTGACACTTTATCAAGTTCAGAGTTCCCATGCAGCGAGATCGATTTTCCCCACCTGTAGCGATATTCATTCCCTTAAAAAAAATTGTCAAAACATAGATTCTGATCACCCGTTGAAAATGCCAGTTTCATTGTTGCTTCACCCTCCATTGTCCCATGGATTTGTTTGGTCTTGACCCCATCCAGGCCATTAAAATGAAGGTGCCGTGAGCCGTGATTTCCGAGGCATGTGGTCCCACTTGATTCATCTTGGGCCTGCGTGGCTTAACTCATAGTGGGGAGTGATGGGGGCAGCGATAAGCTGATGGCATCTTACGAAACACATCGGAGTGAAGTAGTAAAGCCCGAGCTTGGAACAGGAGCAAAAGGGTCGGTCTACACTTCAGTATTGGGTCAAGACACGTGAAGACCAGACACTTACGAAATCCTACGAATACCTCTTCCATTGCCACCTCAGGTGACCTAAACTGTTTGTTGCTGGAGATTCGTCCTCCACTTTGGGCATTGAACCTCCAATATTCAGCACCACTACAACTATAGTCCTTACAATCTCCATCCCACCATGTGGCTTAACAACGCGAATGCTAATGCAAATGGCAGCCCATTTTGGCTGGCTAAAACATGTTCAAGTCACATACTTGCTGGTTGGAATCATTATGTTTAATCATGTTTATGACTTCGGCATGCTTTTAGGAGCTCAAATCTCAGTACTAATCCCTTCTTGATTGCATCTGTCCCTCTGTTCGGAGCTTCAAACGCATGTTTGATGCTTGTATTATGTATATCCCCTTGGTCCCTAAAGAAAATGCAAAAAATGAAACACACAAATGTGAATTGTATCTATAAAGAAAAAGTGTATAATGTGCATACATACATGCACATTCGCATCTTTAAGGTGGTTTTGACCCATCCAAAAATATATAGGCACCATCATCTCAGCCAATCATCCCGTCATGGCTGTTCAAAACAAAAGTCATATTTGAAACCCCCAATCAGTTTTGGTTTTTTTGCTAAATATCCACCAAAAATTCCCATGATGTCATAGTTAACTAGTAACTAGGGACTTTCAACCATCAACCATCACATATGATTATGAAACTATATCCCCATGATTAATAATCAATCAATAATTATCAACTAAATATCACCATAATATGGTTATTAAACATCCCCATAAAGTCCCATTCATCATGGTGACATCGCGAAGCATATCCCCATCAAAGAAGCGCCTCATGGCCGCCAGTTGCGCTTCGGTGCCTTCGCCGCCCTCACGGCTCCTGGCCAAGCGCTAGCGGGGAAAAAAAACACCAATGCGGTGCTAGGTGTGGCAGGGGTTTCCCTGCAGGGAGTGTGTTGTTTTTCATGGAGACATCTAAAGGATATTGGTCATAGAAATATGTTTCATAATATGTGTTATGTGTGAAAATGGAGGTCTGAATACTCTTGGCGATACCCTCGGGTAATTAAACGTGGCTGGCAAACGGAAATCCCCTATGAATCGAGGTTTGAATTGAACAAATCATCTATAAATGGTGGATGTTCAATTGCAATGTTCGATAACTGGAGAGTAATTTGATGTAATTTATTTTTTGATATTTTTTGGGGGGGGGAATCTTAACGAACAGGTGGACCCTAGTGTGAAATAAACCCAAAATCATTCAATGGTTGGGTTGGGCTGTTTCACATCATCCCCAGGTGACAATCATCATCCCATGCGATCAAATACCGGGTTCAACGTTCGAGTGGAAATCCCCATTCAAATGGTCATGTCTCAAAAAAAAGGGACGTAATACATGGCAATACATTTATATATCTATGAACCTCTTGCTACACATTGATACATTATCAAACTCTTAGTTTGCAGGCTGCCTCTTATATGTCAATCACCCATGATTTCAGAAGCGCCTTTTAAATCCCACCACGTGGCGGGGCCACGAGTAGCAGGCCTCGCCACGCAACGGTTCTGAAGGGATGACCAAAGACTTGGCGCTGTCTCGAAAATGGGGATTCTTCTTACCCTCTGGTGAACTAACATAGCAATGGAAAATCACCATTTTTCATGGGAAAATCCACTATAAATGGCCATTTTCCATTGCTATGTTAGTTCACCAGAGGGTAAACCCTGAAAATTGGTGTTTTATCCGGTTTTTCTGGGTAAAAATGACCATCGTTTCTGGTCAAATGGTAAAATCAACTCTGTAAAACCCCGATTTTACGAACGATGGCTGGACGATCCCATGGAGTTTGGACATTTTGGATCGCAGTGAGGGGACTTTGGAACGAATCCAGGGAGGTATGCGGAGAGGTTAGACTGTCGATATATATATATATATATGTGTGTGTGTGTGATATATACATTTTGATGTATTTTTGATATATCTACTGTAAATCTTGGAACTGGGATCGATTCCTGTTTTGTATAGCCATTGGTTACTGGTTGCAATTGGAGAATTCGCATGCAGGTAGATATGCAAATAATGATCGGTAAAAAGAGTACATGTCTAGTCTATATCTATATACATTATGTCTTTAAGGTTTGCATGCACATATATACGTATATACATAGAAAAGATAGATGCATATGTTACAATTTGTTCCAAAATATCTTTGAAAATCCAAATGTCCACAGCCAGAGATCCTGACCCAATGACACAGAAGTGTTCCAAAGCCAACATGTCTATTGAATACCGGATGGCATTGGATGGTTAAAAGCATGATTCTTTTGGGGTGATTCCTGGATTATGATAGTCTCCAAATTTTGATTAGATTTGATGATTTGTATAACTCCAGAACTAATCAAATCATCAAGCAGGGGTTTTGATGACATGGTATGACAGGGTCATCCACATGCAAACCCCCCCATCCATCACTTTCTCTCGGCGCGTCATCGAGAGCACTCGGGACTTCGGAGTGGCTTCAGCTGTTTTTTTTCGCGGTTGAACTGGCTATAAGTCAAAAGCCTGGCTCATAGCTGGTTGATGGATGTTTATTCCCCAAAATATTGGCAATAAACAGGTAATCTGGTTGGTGGTATACCTACCCCTCTGAAAAATATGAAAGTCAGTTGGGGCTATGAGATTCCCAATATATGGAAAGTCATAAAAGTCATGTTCCAAACCACCAACCAGTAATAGCTTTTAACCCATCCCCAACCTGACCACTATTTCAGGATTAGATTTCACCTAGGCTCTCTATCTTTTTGAAGGGAAAATCACGGAAAATATGCGGACCACCATGCTAAAACAGTCGGAAGACTTGGATTTGCTGAAGGGCTCCCACAAAGATAAAACACTGTTTAAATTGGACGTTGGTGCATTAACACATCAGTGAATGAAAACAAAACACTTGGTGAGTTTTAAAGCGTAAATTTGACAAAATTCCATAAAATTTTAACAGCTGCGACCATCCGCTGACACTCTTCAAGTGCCCCCTATCTCTCTAAGTGACTGTGGCAAGGTTAGGGATCTGCATTTTTGTGCAGACTTTGTGGTTGACCCTGGCGATCTGGGAACGTTTCAAGTAGACCTATCCTGGGAAGCCCGTTTGCCAGATCCCAGGGTCAACCTGTCCCTTGCTGCGCCTGGTGAACCAGTGTGGCTGGCCCGACACGAGGTATTTCCACTGCAATCCCAGCGGATATACATCCCATACCCTTTTCTAGGGAGTAGGTTGTGTTTGGAGGACGAGTTTTTAATCATCAAATAATGAATCATCGCTTGTTGGGGCACCCTCTTGACCTCTTAAGAAATGCGGAAAGAGGAGTCACCAAACCATCCAAACCAGGGATGTTCTATTCAAATTCATCAAGTTGATGTAGGCTCAGTAGTGGTCAGAAACCACGAATCTCACTAGGAGCGTGGCTTTGAAGCACCTGATGCCCATGTGGATCGATTTATGGAAAAATGTCGAGAGAACCCTGGTTTTTGCCCCAAAATGTCCCAAATTCATTGGGTTAAACCCAGCTGAATTTCCCGCCAATTCCAACTATACTACAGACACTACGGACATAGAGTCATAGAGACCGTTTACATAAATGATGTGATGCGATCTCATGTAATGTGATGTATGCGGGCATGGTTCACAAAAAAAAATGCACAAAAGTTTGACCCATACCTGTCCTATGCGCTGTTGCATGAATAATGACTTCAAACCCATGATATCCATACTCGGTTTTGGGACGATTCACCACCATCAACCATCAACCATCAACATCAACTCCTATGAAAAAGGATGGTTAAACCCCTATTTTGTTGAAATGATCCTGTCCGCCACCGCTTTGCAAATTGCGCCTTCAAAGGGACACCGAGACATCCCAGGGTCGCACGAATCGCTCGCGGCACAAGGGGCACTGCTTGGTACCGCTTTCAACCACTGAAGCACAGGTGTTGCACAGCGCCTGACAGGCCGGGATAGCCTCTGTTTGTGTTCAAGTCTCAAACTGGACCCTTATATGTTTGGTGTGTGTACATCTACCTATGAATTTATCAATTTATCAATTTATCAAATCCAATTTGCTAATTTATCTGTCTAGCTACCTATCTATCTATTTATCTATTTATTTATCGATCTATCGAACCTAATCTATATAATCTAATCTAAACTACTGTAATCCAACCTAATCGAATCGAATCTAATCTATCTAATCCATCTAATCTATCTAATCTATTTATCTATCCATCCATCTATCTATCTATTTCTCTCTCTCTCTTTTTATGCACATATGAAAATATGTGTAACTATATATATATAAATGTGTGTGTGTGTACGGGTGTGTACATATATATATATATATGTGTGTGTCAATGTGTATATATATATATATTTATATATTTGTTTAGATAAGCATGTGTATATATATGCATATGTATATATATATGTGTGTGTGCGTGTATGCATATATATATATATACATATATTATTACTATTATTATTGTTATTTCTATTATTATTGCTATTATTATTACTATTTATTCAGTTTGTGTATATATATATATGTGTGTGTGTGCGCGTGCATGTGTGTGTGTGTGTCTGTTTATTTATCTATCTACATATCTATCTATCAATCCTTCCATCCATCCATTCATGAAAACCATCTATCCATCCATCCAAGCATCCATCTATCTGCGTCTGTGGAAATTAGCCAACATGATTGATTCCAAGTGATTTGACCCTTCCCCATCTGGTGAAATGGGCATACCCCCTCCGGTGTCATCAAACATGGTTTGAAAGAAAAACAACAACTATAGTTCAATGATTTCCCACATGCTTGAAGATATTGGAATTGGTTGTGCAATTGGGGTCATATGGCTACAACATGCTATAACCATGGTGAGTTCACCTCCATAAGAAAAATGGGCCCCAACTCTGTCCATGGTGAAGCATCTCCAATGAGAAAATCCATCAATTTATGATTTTATCAACTAGCCGGGTTAGTCCAAATCCATCAATCCATGGCTCATTAACATCAGAACTATGTTCCAAAAAGTATAATCATAATCTATCAATCTATGTTCCAAAACTTAGAACATAAAGATTGATTTTGATGGCTTTCAATTTTTCATCTCGAACACATGATCATCATTAACTCATCAGAATCATCCATGATGGTTTCGAAGCTCAATCATCCACACCCCCTTCAGGCCGCGTCGTCGCGCCTTGTGTCCACAGATCATGGACTGAACGCTGGGCTCGGCCTCATAGCAGATGCAGCAGGTGGGCTCACGGAAGTCCACCACCGCCGCCGGCACCTCAGCAGATCACATCACCAGCTGAAGAATTGTGAAAAAATGATGAAAAATGGTGAAGTCACCAGTTCTTAATGGAAGATTTGGTAACTCCAATACAAAAACTGATGGGAAAAGAATGGAATATCTGATGAAAATGTATGAAATTCATCACCAGTTCTTGGGTTCCATGCTGAAATATACTAAAATAACACATGTGAGACTTCACCATGATGGTTGGAGCCCATGGTGGGCATTTCCGGATTTCCCGGACCACCTCCCCACCCACCCCCAGCCCCCAGATCTTCCTTTGGAGTGTACACTTCTGACTCCTCAAATGCACATCCCCTAAAGCATGCCAAGAATCATCATTATTCACAGATTTCACAGGTTGTGTACCCATTTTGGGGAACAGCAAAATCCCCAAACCCCAAGCCCCAACCCATCCCCAGGCCTATATTTGACCGATAGACATCACCTTTCTTAATGGATCTCCAAGATCTCGGCCCCCCCGCCATCCCCAACCCTGCTTCGTGAGGTCCCAATTCGTGGCTTAGCCCCATCTGTAAACAGGTGAACCAACTTTGATTGTTGACCGCTTGCGGGTTGTGGAATGATCCAAAAAGCCTGGCCCATATTACATGCACCTGCAAATATTACATATACTAGGTAGATAGACAGCTAGACAGATAGATAGATCAAATATATAGATTAAGTAGATATATTAAATAGATAGGTATATATATTGCACTAAATTTGTTATTATATTATATATATATATGCAAATATCTGTGTGTGTGTGTGATATACCCAAGTTTCCCAAAACCACCGTGCCCCACCTTGCCCTGCTGCAGCAGGCCCCGCAGTTCCGCCTCCGTGGTTTGGCGCCGCTGCGCCGTCTGCGTGTCCAGCCGCAGCCGCTCGCGCGCCAGGCGGATGGAGCTCCGCTCGTCCGCCTCCACAGAACCTGTTGGGGCATGCCGGCTATAACACAGTTTTATGGGTATAAAGATCTTTATAGATAGATAGATAGATAGATAGAAATAGATAGAAATAGATAGAGATAGATAGAAATAGATAGAAATAGATAGAAATAGATAGAAATAGATAGAAATAGATAGAAATAGATAGAAATAGATAGAAATAGATAGAAATAGATAGAAATAGATAGAAATAGATAGAAATAGATAGAAATAGATAGAAATAGATAGAAATACATAGAAATAGATAGAAATAGAAATAGAAATAGATACAAATAGATAGAAATAGATACAAATAGATAGAAATAGATAGACATAGATAGATAGAAATAGATAGATAGATCAAGATAGATAGATCAAGATAGATAGATCAAGATAGATAGATCAAGATAGATAGATCAAGATAGATAGATCAAGATAGATAGATCAAGATAGATAGATCAAGATAGATAGATCAAGATAGATAGATCAAGATAGATAGATCAAGATAGAGAGATAGATAGATAGATAGGTAGATAGATAGATAGATATAGATAGATAGATATAGATAGATATAGATAGATAGATAGATTGATAGATAGATTGATATTTGTATAGATTTAGATATAGATACATATGTCGATACAGATATAGATAGATATAGATAGATATAGGTACAGATATAGATACAGATATCGATACAGATATCGATACTATGATATTGATACAGATATCGATAGAGATAGATAGATATAGATAGATATAGATAGATACAGATAGATATAGATAGACAGATAGATATAGATAGACAGATAGATAAGATTAGATTTGGTTTCGATTCCATTCGGTTAGATTAAATTAGATTGATAAATAGGAATTGAAAAGATATCTAGATATATAAATATTTAGATATATAGATATATATAAACAAAAAATACAAAAAATATAGATATAAATTGGTAGATAGATAGATAGATAGATGGATAGGTAGATAGATAGACAGATAGATAGATAGATAGATTAGGTAGGTAGGTAGGTAGATAGATAAATTAATTGATAGGTTAAAAGACAGATAGATAGATTTATATACGTGTGCATGTGTGTCTGTATGTGTGTGTGCATATGTATACTTATCTAGTTTAACTAATCTAATCCAATCCTATGCGATCCGATCCTATCCGATCTGTCTATCTATTTGCTGGCTTTTCAAGTATTCATGTGATTAATAGAGGAACAAGACTATCCATTTTGTTTCTAGAAAGAGAGATATATAGATAGATAGATGGATGGAATGGATGAATGGACGGGTAGATGAATGATCGATGATTATAGATGGAATATAGATATATAAGTGTACTATAGATGGATTATGGATCATAGATGAGTTTAGATGGATCATAAATGAGTTTTAGATGGATTGTAGGTGGATTGTATTACTGGAATAGTCTTAGTTACTTAGGTTAAATATGCTTACTGCCGTACATGCAAAAGTTGTTTACAATTTTGTACCAAAATTGCCAATATCACTGGTAAGCGAAAAATAAGCACCTATGAAATGGAGGTTTCCTATAAATGGTGGTACCCCCAAATCATCCACTTTAATACGATTTTCCCTTAAAAACACATTTTGGGGTACCCCATTTATGGAAACCCCCCAAATGATCCACTTTTATGATCACAATATCCCCACTTTGGAATTCACAAGTTGCCTCTGATTTTTCAATGATTCACCTCTTGAACACGGTGATTTTTCATCACCATGTCTGGGGTAAACAAATCCGAATTTTGGGATGTTATTGGATTAAACTCCCCTATTTTCTTGGTCTTTAATTTTGCAAGGGCGCATGATACCGTTATATAATCATCAATTTCTTTGTTTTTTCATGATCTTGTTGTCAAATCAACATAATTGATCCAACCATATAGGCTGTGCACTATGCACTCTTTGCTTTTTCAATCATGAATCATGAATCATCCAATCCTGAAATCTTGTGCTCTGCGTGATTTTCCTGATTGTTTCTGGTTGGAATCCTGACATTCAGCACATGAGGCACCTTCGATGTCGCAAATGAAGCAGTTCCTCGGAATTCGGATTAAACTCATGCCAAGCCAGCTGGTGAAACGAGAACACGAACGCAGAGTTATCACATATATGCACATATATATGTACGCACATGTGTATGCACAGACAAGTGTATATATGCATATACATCATTATGCATCTGTATATTTTTTATTTATACGTATATGTGTAATTTTTTACTGTATATGGCATATGCATGTGTATGTGTGCGTATGTATAGGTGTGTATATATATATACACAAGTACTGCGTATAAGAGTATATAAGTGTGTGTGTGTACTACACGTACAGCCATGTCTATATTTTGGTAGTCAAAAAATCAAGAATAGAGAAGGAATAGGAATGAAATCATACAAAAAAAATGCCATCAGCAAATGTACATACACATAAATGTGAAATATCTATGTGTATACATGTGTAAACAAACATGCAAACTGTGGATATGCAAATATGCTTATGCATAAATATGCATATATTATATTGCGTCGATACCAAGTGAGAGCCTGGTAATGTAGGCGTAGATGCAGATGCAAATAGATAATATGCATACATATTTTTTCCCTGCCATAACCTATAGCATGGGCATTGCCACAGGGCGTAGGCACTAACCTGCTTCCTACCTACTATCAAAAACCTAGGGCCTCGCTCACTGCTCGGTGGTGTATTGAAACGAAATCTTCCCGTGTAGTAAAAACTTCACACTGAGCAAAAGTTTCACACTGAGTGAAGGTGTCACACCGAGCAAAAGTTTCACACTGAGTAAAGGTGTCACACTGAGGAAAGTTTCACACTGAGTAAAGGTGTCACACCGAGCAAAACTTTCACATTGCATGTTTCATATTGGGTTTCCTTTGTTGAATGGGGGTTGGTATCGCTGCGCTTGTTCAAAAAGCCTCTCACGTATCGATCGGTTGTTCTTGTCGAATGGTATTTGCGGTTGTGTAGCATCATGCGTTCTAATCACTTCCCATGCTTTACTCCCATTGTTAGTTGTCCAGAATTGTTGTGGGCGGCCTCGTCTTCTGTGTTCGGTTTCCCGTGGGGGCGCGGATCTTGTAGGGAACGCAGCTTGGTGTAGTGGATGTTGCCTACCCCTTCTCAAGACATGCCCAAGAAGTTTCAGCTTTCTGTCTTCCAAAATTTCGGTTAGTGGTTTGATTTGTCTCCCAGGTCAATCTGATAGCGCGCAAATATATATATATATATAAATTCAAATATAAATACATAGCTCTAATTATACATATATCTATACATATATTTAAATTTATTTATTTGTTAATATCTTTATTTATGGCTATGTCTGTATATTATGTATATATATATATATATATATTTATTTACATACATGCATATTATATATATATGTATATATACATAGACATGTGTCCGTACTTTTACAATGTATATTATACATATATATATATATCTATCTGTACATGTGTGATGGTCAAGATGGCCCCATGGATCACCACGGTGGTTGCTATGTTTTTCCCAAGCGTCTTTCCCCACTTTGACAACATCTGAAGCAAGTCCTCCTTGTCCGGGCCCTTTTCCTGCGTTGCATTGCGTCGCCGGATCAGTTCTACATCCAAAATCTATAGAACTTGTGGCTCGCCAAAAGCTACAGCAACAACGGATGTTGTGGTAAAAAAAATAAACTCAGGTGCTACCGTGCTACCCCCAACAGCTTGGCTTCTGCGTTCTTGCCATAAAAAGTCCTTATGCCATAAAAATTAAGCGCTTATGCTGCCATCAAAAATATCGGAACCCTTTGGAATTTCACAAAGCATCTGCACAAGAACCCTCCGGAACCTCACAAGGTATCTGCACCGGAACCCTCTGGAACCTCACCAAGCATCTTCTCCGCCAAAACCTTCCGGAACCTCACAAGGTCTCTGCACCGGAACCTTCCGGAACCTCACCAAGCATCTTCTCCGCCAAAACCTTCCGGAACCTCACAAGGTCTCTCACCGGAACCCGGTATCTGCACCGGAACCCTCCGGAACCGCACAGAACCCTCCGGAGCCTCAGCAGGTATCTTCACCAGATCCCTCCGGAACCTTGTTGACTCTCCAAACTTGTAGGTTGCATTGGTATTGACCCATCCGCATCTTCCAGTATCAATACTGGCGTCCTGCTCAGCAGTCAAGGTGACCTCTACAAATGGGATGAAGACTACGGGCGAGAGAAATCCTCGGCGCACTGCGGGGACGTCCCGGTGGATTTCAGGTGATTTGGGGTTGATGAATTAGGAGTTCCCCCCAAGACTCAGCATGTCCAACCTGAAGCCAGGGGTTTTGGGACGTTTTGGGCGCTGCTCAACATGAAATCTCCGATGCTGTTTGAAAGCTTTAAGTTTTCAGCCCATTCCTGTTAATCACATGAACAGCCGCTCAGAAACCATGCTTGAGTATTGAATCGATTCATTTTGAGGTACCTTTTTTGCGGGAGAATTGATTCTCATCACCCCATGGCCACGCGCGAGTCACGGACATTTCTCGCAACCTATTGCCGAGCGGCTGAGGCCCACCACTCGAGGCTTCAGCGAAGCCGGTAACTTCACACCACCCAGCTCATAACGCACCGCCTGAAACAAAACCACTGGGACTGGGGCCCTCGGGGATCTTCCAATTGCAAACTGCATTAAATACCAGAGGGCACCATCATTCACAGCGCCAAAGAAATTTACCAGTTGCGTCACCATCTTTCATGTTTAAATCACCATTAAAAATGGACCACGGGCGCCATGCGGGGCCGCAGCGGGCACCGACCCCTGACCTCTTGGATGCTCTTGAGCGATAAGCTGAGAGTGTTGGTTGCCAGCAAACACCCGGGCCGTGCTTCCTGCAGCGCCTCTGCAAAAACTTTACCTGGTGCCGGCTGGATGGGATGCCGAGGCGGTGTGTTGTTTTTAAGAAACCCATTCTTTTAGCCATTTAAGCATGGGGGCCATGGGGCTAAACTGTTAAACCCAGGGTTGCTAGGGTTGGATTCTTGAAATTATTCGAAACATGACGTCCAAGGCCACCAAAAACTTGATATGCACTGTCGAACAACGCTGGCTTAGGTGCTCCCCCACAAAACAACAGGAAGGACTCTTTTTTTAACCTGATACTCTGAGTGCCGCGCGCGAAACTCAGCAAGGCAATGAAAACACAATTCATCAGCGAAAGCATGAAATGATCTGAGGACAGAGAAAGGAATATCAATGGACCCACAGGACACACCAGGACCTTTACCAGAGGGAGACCCACCCGAATAGCCAATTTGAGCAGAAGAATGAACACTAAGGAAAGTGACTTTGTGAATAGAGACGGGTTTGAACAAGAGATGAAGTGAGTTTTCCATGGCAGAAACGGCGAAATCGAGTCTTGAATTGACTCAAAAAATGTTGAAGTTTCTTGCCGTCAACCCACTCAGGTAAATCAGGATAACAACCCACAAAGTCAAAAAACACCAAGACCCATGGAACTTTAGGCCCTTGCTGATTGACCAGAAACTCTATACAGACATCCTGGGTGTACCTAGACAAAGCCTGGAAGTACTCACCAGAATAATTCTGCAACCTAGATCTAGCATTCCGCTGGTCCAGCTGAGGAAACACATGTGGTCTCTTTGTAGCCCTAGAGATATGGAGGTTTCCTGAAATAGGAGTACCCCTAAATCATCAATTTTCACCATTGCAACAATTATAAACCAACCAGTTTGGCGTACCCCCATTTATGGAAACCCCATAGATTGGCCATGTCACACAGTGAAGACCCTAGGACCTAGGACCATCAGCTGGTACCTATGGTGAACATCCTCCCTTCCCGTTGCAGAGAGTGGAGCATTCTAACATCAGGAATGAGTGGCGGGAACGACCATTTTCATGACCTCCCCAAAGGCAGAAAACCTCCGCTTCATTTAATGGTCCCTCTTTATTCGATGGAAAAAACATGGTTAAGCCATGTTAAGCTTTCGTTTCCCCATTAAAAGTGCGAGTTTGCGGCGCAGACAGCCCATTTCTGGGCAAGTCCATATGATTGTGTTCGCCCATCTGTTGCCAAATCCCAGGCTAAAATATGTTTTAAATGAAGGCGGGTGTTGGTGGGGATGATTTTTTTTAGAATATATATAGAAAAAATACTGCGTTTTACAATGTTTTATGCACTTCATGGGGCTGGGAACGTGGTAAAACGACGTTTTTTTGTATTTATTGTATTTAATTTCAGACATGAAGTTTGTGCACTAGCTCGGCGATACCACTGCTCACACGTGTTTGCATTTCTTTTTCGTTCCACGCAAAGCAAGTCTAAGTCAGCAATGCACACACTGCAGTTGGAACCGACTTGAAGCAATAACATTTGTTATAGACTTGGTTCTTGGCTGCATAGCTTGCTTATTTATTGTATTTAATTTCAGACATGAAGTTTGTGCACTAGTTCGACAATACCACTGCTCACACGTGTTTGCATTTCTTTTTCGTTCCACGCAAAGCAAGTCTAAGTCAGCAATGCACACACTGCAGTAGCAATAACATTTGTTATAGACTTGGTTCTTGACTGCATAGCTTGCTTTGTCATATAAACATTAAACTACACTAGTTTGCAAGTGTGTGATCAAAAACAATACACCTCATGTCTGGACTATTGTGACATGGTGTCCCATGGGGTCTATAGTTTTGGCTTTTTTTGATTTTTTGGTTTTTTTTGACTGTTTTGTTGTTTTGGTTTTTTTTGTTTTCTCATTTGTTTTATTTTCTCTTTGGAGCCCTCTCCAAAGAGTCGCAAAATATTGTTTTTTTTGCTGATTTTTTTTGTATTTTCCATGTGTTTTTTGGATTTCTCTAAATTTACTGACTTGCATATTGAAAAAACGTGCGTTTCACCTAGATGTTGAAGCTATGTGGTGCAAAATATACTGTAAATTACAGTGGTTTCTAGACTTTATACTTGGAAAACAGCATCCCTGTGAGCACCCGTTCTGTTTAAATCCTCATATCAAGCCACTCTGTTTTTCTTGAAATACCTATTTATTTACCATCGTGTTCCGAGTTTGTATCTCACGATTTTCCAGGAAAATGGCTGGCTTTTGATATCTGATCCTTCTTTTGATCAAGTAAAGCTTAAATATCAGAGGCAGTTGAATCCCCATCTATCAATCATTTTCCAAGTTCATACCCCATCATATCCCCATAAATTCTCACATATATCATCGTTACATCCCAATTCTCCAAATCCCAAGTATTACGTTGCCACCTATTCCCAGTCAATCCCCATTCAATCCCCATTCAATCCCCATTAATCTGGCTGAATCAGACAGAAAAAACACCTGTTTTCACAGCTGAAAATCCGCCGGGATGATTCCCCTTGACCATCTTTTTCTAGATCAGTTTCAATGGTGGATTTGGAATTTCCAATGACTTATATAGATTTAAAAACAACCATTTTCGAGCGATCCTACCATCCGTGGATCCCAAAAAACTCCCGGTTGGTTTTCGCTCAGCGACACTTGATGTCCAGGCGATCCGGAACCGCCTCGATGACGAGATGAGCGTGCTTCGCCGCCTGGACGGATTGGAGGGTTTGGGGGAAGATCTTCCCTAAATTGGGATTTGATAGGATTTGGTAGGCTTTCATAGGATTTGATAGGATGTTTTTGGGTTTGGGATGATGAGATTTGATGGTGATCCAACCAAACCGCAAGAATTGATCAGAATTCTGTAAATCTAAGTATATGATATGTGTGTGCGTATGTGTTTTAGATTGCTGATTTTTTAGAAAAAATGGTAGGGTAAGCCGCTAAGACAAGCACCAAAGGTGACCCCCAATATTGTGGTGGCTTATTGTGGCTTGTTGACCGACACCATGACAAGGGCCAAGCTTAATCATTCCGCCAACAAACCATAGGGCTAGTTGGGGAGGCAAGCGTTTGTCCAGAATGAACCGGAAGTGACCAATTTCTGGTAATTTATTAGGGAAAATGATCATCAACCCTCAAGGGCTACCCTGTTTTCGAACAAACTCATGTACCACATCTTTTGAAAATATTGGCAAGCACCTTTTTGGACCCTGGGAAACGGCCCTTTGGGTTATGAAAGAACCTGGGTGGCATTGTTGGTATAGCAATTAGGGAAAAAAACAAGACAACGGCACCCCGGGTTGATACGCCCAAACAACATCTTTATCCAGAATGGCGATTGACAGGTGCACGAGCAACACATCATGAAAAGGGATATACCAAGGGTCCTTGATTATAGCCACAGCCGCTAATGGCCAAGCGGATAAAGCTGACAAACCATGCAAGGACAAGGGCCAGCACAAGTGTGTGCGTGTGAGTATTATCCATATGCCCCAAAATAAATATCGAGATCCTCCCCGCCCGCTAGGTATCCCCTTTCACTTGTGGGAAATCCTCCCAAAAGACCCAAATGCCCCACCTGCGCTATGGAGGAACATGCCTGGCAATTCTGCTGTGAAGCTGGCCATTTACACACCCTGATTTATGGCGCTTTTAGTAAAAATAATGGAATTCAAAACCATTGGATTTTAGAGGTGCCCCACTTTCTGTCAAATTTAAAAAACCGTCTTCCGACTACCTTTTTGAGTGGCTTCCGACAGGACCAATCAGCCGACCAACTGACCAAGAGATATTTTAGATTGCATCAGTGACTACAACCAACAGCCAATGAAAATACATAAAACTGTGTTTAAAGAAAAAAACGAAGCACCGACTTTGCATTTTCACTTTGTGAATGTTTCTGCTACTTGGACAAAGCCACCGGATGTTAGATTGGTGATGCAGCTCGTTTCTTCAGCCAACATCGTAGACCTTAGCATATCCCTATATAAAACAACCCGACACAGAAAAGAAGATGGTCAGCTGGATAGGGCATGGCTTCTGGCAATCTAACCTGGCACTCAAAGATTCCCATAAATCATAAGTCCCTTACGAATAGATGCAGTCATGAACGCTATCCAAGTTGAATTCATCGCTGGACCTACCATCTCACCATTGCCCAAGCCTCCGGTCTCTGAGGCAAACCCAAACCCCGACATGTGGGGTCCATCATCGCACTGGGGGCATGCCCAATATCATCACTAATCCCATCCCCTCAATATTCAACATCCCCCACCATGGTCTATTCAGGGGATAGAATTCATAAATCCCAAGTGAAGCTGGTGGTGTTGGGTTTCCCATCTCCAGATCTCTCCCCGCCTGTGCTTGCCGCTGCTTTTGATCGGGAAGGGGCTTCCAAAGACTCTTCTCGGGCGGAGACATGCATGCCAGGTGCAGCAGTTTCAGCCTCAGAACCCAAACTCTGGTGGAGTTACCTCCAATTGACCGGCAAAAAAATCCATGAATTCGGGAGAGTATTTCCGCAAAATCGTCGAAGTCATGTGGTAAACCCAACCATAAACCTCAGAGCCTCAGATTTTAGGGACGACTATTTACCACCTTTTTCTGATAAAATTGCGGATGGTCTATTAATACAATGTGGTCTGCTCCCATATTTGGG